CTATAACTGATTCCTCAGGAAGGGCTTGGGGCTACAGCTTTTCCTGAGTTCTTGCACTGAAAACCGTTTCAGTATAATCTCAACACTTGAAAAACAGCGTGTCTAGATATAAAACCCACGTTCTCATTTTCTTTCCTTGAATTTCTTGAAAACGTTGCTCCAGTTCGTCTTGCTTTGTACTTAGCTGTTGAGAAGTATAATGCAAACCTGACTTTCTTTCCCTTGTAAATAATTTGGGCTTTTTGCTTGGAAGCTTAGAGGAATTTTTCTTTATTCTTAGAGTGTAATCGTTTTACTAGAATATATCTTAGAGTTGACCAATCTGAATCAATTTTCCCAGGAACAAGGTAGGCCCTTTCAAGAGGCCCTTCAATTTCACGTCTTCTTTAACTTTTGGAAAATTTTCTTGTATTACAATTTTAAGTATTAATTCTGTTTCACTGTTTTGTTTATCTTCCTCAGGGACTCCAATTTTACATGCATACATACATATACACATTGGATTTTTGCTGACTATGTTCTATATCTAACAGTTCCTTTCTGATACTTTTTTAACCCTTTTCATTTATTTTTATTCTCTTGGTTGTTTCTATTTCTCTTCTCAATGTTCCTTACTATATTTTCAGTTGAATCTATTGTCCCATTGGGTACCCTGGAAATGAGTCTTCAATTGAGATTATTTTGTCTTCAATTTTTTTTCCTGAGTTTGGACAATTCTATTTTTATATCTTCCTGTCTATTGCGCATTTCTAGTCTGATTTTTAAAATTTATGATTCAAGGTATTTTTTCATATTTGTCAATACTTGTTTAATTCAAGTTAGGTTGTTATACAATAGTTTTCCCCTGGTTAGTCACTGATTTTGGCAGTAGAATTTTCAGTAGTTAAAATGGTTTTATGCTCATCTTCTGTTTTTCTTTATACAGAAGCTTTTTATGGATATTTACTGTTGTTGCCTAATCATTTGAAATGTCTTATATTTTCCTGGACCAGCAAAATGAGGAGGTTCTATTTTGGCAGGGATCTTGGGTCATGAGTTTTCTATTGGCATAGTGAAATGCAGTTTCTTTAGTAGATGAGTCTCTTTGGGATGTGATGGGAAGACTGGTATGTCTTTTGATTTTATGATTCTCTTTTGTTTCTGTATTAACTCTAAATCATCACCCCTTGCTTCAACATTATGCCTACCTCTCCTTGCAAGGTAGTTATCTTCCAAAGGCTGCTATCTCTAGTCCCTCACACTTTCAATTCACTCTCTTCCTTCTGATTCTCCAGTAGCCAATACTCTAATCAAGTAGGTCTTAGCTCTGTTCTAGTATTTCCCACTATGGATAGTACTATCTTTTCTGGGGGTGATTTTGGCTGGTAGGCCCCCATTGACCTCTCCCTTTTTAATGCGGTTTTTACCTACATAAAACTCTTCCTTCCGGTACGGGTTGGGTACTGCTCTAGTGGTTTCAGATCTTTATATCTGAACATGTAATTGAAATTTGTGGTACTTCTGACTCCTAGTTATGTTTAGGCATGGTTATGGTGGTTTGATCTGCTTTCCTTTTAATCTACATTTCTGGAGAATTTATGGATTTTTATTTAGATGGTCACCCTTATCCCTGGGAACCTGTATTTTTAAATAGCCTATCAAGATGCTTCTAAATAATGATGCGAGTAAGTTGAGAATAATACAGTACTATGCAGCCATAAAAAGGAATGAGGAATACCTCCACACCACTAAGAAGTCATCTTTAGGACATACTGTTAAATGAAAAAAGCAAGGTTGAGAAAAGTATGTACAGTATGCTGTCATTTATATAAAAAGGTGAAGGATACATATGGATATATGTACACACACTCACACACACACACACACGGATATATTTGTTTATATTTTTAAAATATGGAGTATAAACTATAAAATTAAAAGAAAGTGGTTACCTATGAGAGAAGAAAGGAATAAAGTGAAGGGGATTTCTCTGAATTTTATAGATTTGAGTTTAAGAATGATGTATATCACATATATTTATAAAGGAAAATTTTTAAAAAGCTATCTCTAAAAAATCAAAATTAAAATGAAACAAATGAACTTGTTTATACCAAGTTGGTGGCACTGCCACCCAGAGAGAAACTGATCCATATGACCTTATAACACATTACTGACCCCATTTCCCAAGAGGGTAAGAAAAAAATAAATGTAAATAACTCAAACACTGTCAGTAATCATAATGGTGGTAGTGTTGGTATCGCTATTCTGAGACTGTTGTATGTGTATTGTAGGATGAAGCAAATGAGTTATTTTGTTAGTGACAAAGAGAACTAGGGTTTTATTGTCGTACAAAGGAGATATAGATTTAAGACAGTAAAGATGAAGTAAGTAAAAATACCATTGTCCTGAATTTTAGTAGAAAGTATCAATATGAACTAACGATTTTTTGTCTTAATAATAACAAAAAAAGGCAGTTCCTACCTCTCTATACCAAAAAGACCTAGAAAGAATGACCAACCCAGTAGCACTGAGCACCCAGAATATGGTCTCTTAATACCATTTCCCACTAAAAGGAGCCCAGGCACCTAAAAGAAATAGCTGGTTCCATATTTGGAGCAGGAAATGTATAAGATGAGCCTGGAACATTCTGAAATTTCAGAAATCCAAGAGAGTAATCAAATAATAGTCAGGAGACAACTTCAGGAGGCTCCTATGAGGCCAAAGATGGAACAATTCAAGAACTATTAAGAACAATTAGTGCAATGGAGTGAAACACATCAAATATGTATGAATCTTTGAGTTTACGATACTAAACAACAACAACAAAACTGTCCTAAATATTTTTGGGGATGCTAGTAAACCAATTCATTATTTTGAAAATTGGGAAATAAAGAATCAAGCACTTAAACTGTCTTTCCTGCATGAACTATACCTCAGCATAATCAAATACTTCAGAAAAGTTTATTTTAATAGATGTATTCCATTTAATTTATATGGATGGAATGGTAAGATTAAAATTTCCTATTTTGCAACCATAATGAATTGATGGATCTAAAACAGGGATCAGCAAACTATAGCCAGCAGGCTGGCCATCTGTTTTTGTAAATAAAGTTTTATTGGAACACAGCCTTCCCCATTTTTTTATGTATTGTCTATGGCTGCTTTCACATTACAAGGACAAAGGTGACTAGTTGCAACAAAGAATGTTATGGCCCATAAGCCTGAAATATTTACTATCTGACCCTTTAAGAAAATTGGTCAACCCCTGATCTAGACCACAAGCATTAATGGCTGCCACATTATAAAATGAGAGACAACGAGGGCATATATCATTCCTAATAGAAGTAAACACTACCACCTATGAAATATTCTTATGAAAAAATTGAACCTGAACCTGATCAAGCCTCTAGATCTAGCTACCAATTTCTAGGAAAGAGAGGATAGAGAAACATGTTAAATGATACCATAGAGATACAATCAGCAAAATTTAATTGTGGGAAATTTTAAAGACAATGACTTATATTTTTCAACAAATAAATTATGAGAAAAAAATAAGAGAGAGAAGGAGAACTCATATATTAATAGGCACTCATATATTAATAGGCACTTAACCAACTGCAACATATTGATCTTATTTGGATCCTGATTCAAAGAAACTGTAATAGAGAGAGAGAGAGAGACAGAGACAGACACACAGACAGAAGGGAAAATTTAAACACTGAGTAAATATTTGTCGATATTAAGGAATTATCATTAGTTTATTTACATGTGATAATATTATTATGATTATATTTAAAAAATATTATCTATGAGAGATACATACTAAATATTTAATGATAAAATGATACTATGTTTGGGCAATTGGGCAGGAGGGGCCAGGGAGTTTGTACAGGTACAAATAAAACCAGACTGACTATATATTGATAATTATCAAGGATAAAGGATACATGGACATTCACTGTGCTATTCTTCCTACTTTTGTATATGTTTAAAATTTTATTTTACATATAATTTTTTTTTTTTGGTGAGGAAGATCAACCCTGAGCTAACATCTGCCAATCCTCCTCTTTATTTTGCTGAGGAAGACTGGTCCTGGACTAACATCCATGCCCATCTTCCTCCACTTTATATGGGACGCCTGCCATAGCACGGCCTGACAAGCGGTGCATTGGTGCGCGCCCGGGATCCAAACCGGCAAACCCCGGGCCGCCACAGTGGAGCGTGCGCACCTAACCACTTGCGCCACCAGGCCGGCCCCTACATATAATTTTTTTATATGTAGGGGGAAATGTCAAATAACCACGTGGGGAGCTCTTTGAAATGACACGTGTCCTCTAATACTCGATTAATCTAGCACAGCCTCCTAAGGGGAACATAGCTCATAGCCCAAAACCCATCTCTCTCTATCCTTCATTGAGATTCACTGCAATAGTGATTGATAGCAATTGATGAGATGGGCTAACTCACTCAGATATACTGAGGCAAAAAGAAATCTGATCTTGAGGGGAAAAATGTAGTGGGGTTATTAGTTTAAGTAAAATAATGCATTTTACTTAATAATACATTCAAAGTGAGAAAATTCCAAGGACCAAGTGAGAATTTAGGGGAAAAGAGATGAGGGACCCTTATCACAGTCATCCTTTCTACTGGGAGAAATTTTCCCTCACCTCTTATTATCATTGTAGGATTCAGTGAAAGCGCTACGGTTTTTTGAGGCAGGTTAAATGGCAAGGCCTCCTCCCATTCTCTCTGTCAGGATGAAGGGGAACTGACGAAGAAGAATGAAGGGTGTGGTTTCTTATCAGAAAAAGGAGAGCTTAAGAGAAGCTTGGATATCATAAGTTAATGTAGAGATGGAGATGTCCAGATTTTATAGCTCATTTAATTTTGGGTGGGCGTTTTCTTTTGGACCATATGAAAAAGAAGGGATAGGCAGGGGACCCTAGGTTTTCTCATAATAGGATGTACAATTTGAGGAAGATAACTACTTGGTTAAGGAGAGCTTGGGTCTAGTTACTCACCCAGAGGGGGCTGCAGCATACCCCCATTCTTCTCACAGTTCCCAATAGGCTGGATTTCAGCAGAGTCAACCAGCCGCCAGAAGTCATTCTTGTTGTCACTACCATCAAGGCGAAGGCGGAGGCGAGCACCTGTCAGTCCAACTACTGTGGCAATACAGGTGGATGTGGTGTTCCTGGGGTCCTGTGCTTCCAATTTCATGCTGATCTTGAACTCGTTGCTTGGAGGTGTGTAGGACTGAGGAGAACAAGCCATGGGGGTTAGGCAGACTAAGAGTAAACAGCATTTTCCGTAGGATGTTAAGAGATGGAACTTGAAAATTTATGCTTTGGACTCAAATTGGTTACAGCTGGGCCAGGGACAACCATTTTGAATTATTCTCTAATACTTAGGAAGGGTTTCATGCAAAAGAAACAATGGAAGGTAAAATGAAGGGGAAAAAATTACTTTCCCCTGAAGTATCAAATATTGACCCACACCAGTAAGAAAAGGACAAGAGTGTCTCAAATGGTTCTTACTTAAATGCTTTCTCATCCTATCTTCCCCAACTCCCTAACCTTCCAGGTATTCATAAAGATTTTTTGTTTTTTTTTTAAAAATCATCCTATTAAACTATATCTTAGGGTCTCTCCATGGAGCATTTCAGTATATTAATTTGTATATCCACCATACAGACTAACTATTGGGGGCTGATTTTTTTCTTATTTTGACATTAACTTATAAGACAATTCATATTTTTAAAACACGTTATAGTTGACATACAATAAACTATACACTTTGGTAAGTCTTAACATATGTATACATCCATGATACCACATACATCATATACACCCTTAAAACCATCACCACAATCAAGATAATGAACATGGACATGCTCCCACGTTTTCTCATGTCCCTTTAGAATCTGTCTAGCACCTTCCTGGACCCCTGTCCACAGGCAAACACTGATCTACTTTCTATCACCGTAGATTGGTTTGCATTCTCTAGTCTTGAATACAATCATAGAGAATATACTTTTTTTTTGTCTAGCTTCTTTCATTCGGCATAATTATTCTGATAGTCATCCATATGGTTGAATGTATCAATAATTCATTTCTTTTGCTTTATTTTTAAAGACTTAATTTTTTTAGAGAAGTTTTAGGTTCACAGCAAAATTTGAGAGGAAGGTACAAAGATTTCCCATACACCCTGCCCCCACATATACCTAGTCTCCCTTATTATCAACATCCCCCACCACAGTGGTATATTTGTTACAATTGATAAACTTACACTGACACATCAAAATCACCCAAAGTCCATAATTTACATGAGGGTTCTCTCTTGGTGCTGTACGTTCTATAGGTTTGGTCAAATGTATAATGATATATATCAATCATTTTAGGATCATAGAAAATAGTTTAACTGCCCTAAAAATCCTCTGTGCTCTGCCTATTCATCCCTCACCCACTCAACCACTGGCAACCACTGATCTTTTACTGTCTCCATAGTTTTGCCTTTTCCAGAACGTAATATAGTTGAAATCAAACAGTATGTAGCCTTTTCAGATTGGCTTCTTTCCCTCAGTAATATGCATTTAAGTTTCCTCCATGTCTTTTCATGGCTTGATAGCTCATTTCTTTTTAGGGCTGAATAATATTCCATTGTCTCACCAAACCACAGTTTATTTATCCATTTGTTTATTGAAGAACATCTTGGTTGCTTCCAAGTTTTAGTTATGAATAAAGCTACAGGTTTTTGTGTAGACATAAGTTTTCAACTCCTTTGGGTAAATATCAAGGAATATGACTGCTGGACTGTACAGTAAGAGTATGTTTAGTTTTGTAAGAAGTCACCAAACTGTCTTACAAAATGGCTGTACCATTTTGCATTCTCACAAGCAATGAATGAGAATTCCTGTTGCGCCACATCCTTGTCTGCATTTGGTGGTGTCAGTGTTCTGGATTTTGGCCATTCTAGTAAGTGTGTAATGGTATCTCATTGTTTTTTTAAATTTGCATTTCTCTGATGACATATGACGTGGAACATCTTTTCATATGGTTTTTTGTCACCTGCATATCTTCTTTGGTGAGGTGTCTGTTAAGATCTTTGGCTCATTTTTTAATCAAGTTGTTTATTTTCTTATTGTTGAGTTTTTCATGTTCTTTGTAGTATATTCTGGAAAACAATCCTCTATCAGATGTGTCTTTTGCAGGTATTTTCTCCCAATCTGTGGCTTGTCTTCTCATTCTCTTGACAGTGTCTTTCACAAAGCAGGTTTTAATTTTAATGAAGTCCAGCTTATCAATTATTTCTTTCAAGGATCGTGCCTTTGGTGTTTTATCTAAAAAGCCATCGCCATGGCCAAGGTTTTCTCCTATGTTATCTTTTAGGGGTTTTATAGTTTTGAGTTTTGCATTTAGGGCTGTAGTCTACTTTGAGTTAACTTTTGTGAATGGTGTAAGGTCTGTGTCTAGATTCCTTTTCTTACATGTGGCTGTCCAGTTGTTTCAGAACCATTTGTTGAAAAGACTGTCTTTGCTCCTTGGTCAAAGATCAGTTGACTATATTTACATGGGACTATTTCTGGGCTCCCTATTCTATTCCACTGATCTATCTGTCTCTTCCTTTGTCAATACCACACTGTATTGATTACTGTAGCTTTACAGTAAGTCTTAAAGTTGGGGAGTGTTAGTCCTTGACTTTGTTCTTCTCCTTCAATATTATGTTGGCTATTCTAGATCTTTTGCTTCTCTGTATAAACTTTAGAATCAGTTTGTCAATATCCACAAAATAACTTGCTGGAATTTTGATTAGGCATTGACTCTTGCATTGAATCTATAAATGAAGTTGGGAATCTTGACAATATTGAGCCTTCCTATTCTTGAACACAGACTATCCATTTTTTTTAGTTCTTCTTTGATTTCATTCACCAGAGTTTTGCAGTTTTCCTTATGCAAATCTTGTACACGTTTTGTTAGACTTATACCTAAGTATTTCATTTTTGGAGGTGCTAATGTAAATGGTATTGTATTTTTAATTTCAAATTTCACTTGTTCATTGCTGGTATACAGGAAAGTGATTGGCTTTTGTATATTAATCCTGTATTAGTCTAGGAGTTTTTTCCTCATTTCTTTCAGATTTTCTATATAGACAATCATGTCATCTGCAAACAATGCGAGTTTTATTTTTCCCTTCCCAATCTGTATATCTTTTATTTCCTTTTCTTGTCTTATTGCAATATCTAGGACTTCTAGTATGATGCTGAAAAGGAGTGGTGAGAGGGGACATTGTTGCCTTGTTCCTGATCTTAGTGGGAAAGCTTCTAGTTTCCCACCATTAAATATGATGTTGGTTATATGTTTTTTGTAGATATTATCACTCAGCATAACTATTCTGATATTCACTCATATTGCTGAACATATTAATAATTTATCTCTTTTTATTGCTGAGCAGTATATCATGCTGATGAACATATGGAGTGTTTCCGGTTTTTAATTATTACAAATAAACCTTCTATGAACATCCACATATAAATCTTTGTACGGAAATATACTTTCTTTTCTCTTGGGCAAATATCTAAAAGTGGAATGGGTGGATCATATGGTAGATATTTGTTTAACTCACACACCAGAAAATTTACCTTTTTTCAGTGTATAATTCAGTGGTTTTTAGTATATTCAGAGTAGTGTACAAACATCACTCCATCTAAATTTAGAACATTTGCATTCTCCCCCTAAAATAAACCCCATACCCATTAGCAGTCTCTTCCCAATATCCCCTCAGTCCAGTCCCCAGAAACCATTAATCTACTTTCTGTTTCTATGGATTTGCCTATTCTGGAGATTTAATATAAATGGAATTATACAATATGTGAGTGATTGCTTTCTTCACTTAGCATAATGTTTTCAAGGTTAATCTATGTTGTAGTGTATATCAGTACTTTATTCATATTCATTACTGAATAATATCCCATCGTATGGATATACTACATTTTGCTTGTCCACTCATCAGCTGATGGACATTTAGGTTGCTTCCTCTTTTTGGTTATTATGTATAATGATGCCATGAAAATTTGTGTATAAGTTTTAGTATGGTCATATATTTTCATTTCTCTTGGGCTTATACCTAGGAGTGAGACTGCTGGGTCATGTGTTAATTTTATGTTTAACATTTTGAATAACTTTCAAACTGTTTCCTAAAGTTGCTACAGCATTTTACAATCTCACTAGTAATGTATGAGAGTTCCAATTTCTCCACGTTCTCACCAACACTTGTTATTGTCTGCCTTTTTGATTTTAGCTATCCTAGTAGATGTAAAGTGGTATCTCACTGCAGTTTTGATTTGCATTTCCCTAAAGACTAACGACGTTAAGCATCTTTTACGTGCTTATTGGCGGCATGTATATATTTAGAGAAATATCTATTCAAATTCTTTGCCCACTTAAAAATTAGGTTATTCGTCTTAACTGTTGAATTGTGAAAGTTCTCCACATCTTCTGGATACAAGTCCCTTATCGGATACATCATTTGCAAATATTTTCTTCCATTGTGTGGGTTGTATTTTCACTTTCTTGATAGTGTCTTTGGAAGAACAAAAGCTTTTAATTTTGATGAAGTCCAATCTATCTCGTTTTTCTTCTGTTGTTTGTGCTTTTGGTGCCATTTCTAAGAAACCACTGCCTAATCCAAGGTCATGCAGATTTACTCCTATGTTTTCTTCTAAGAGTTTTATAGTTTTAGCTCTTACATTTAGGATTATCATTCACTTGGAGTTAATTTTCGTATATGGTGTCGAGGAAGGGTCCAACTTCATTCTTTAGTATGTGGATATTCAGTTATCCCTGCATCAGTTGTTGAAAATCTCACTGAACTGTTTTGGCATCCTTGTCCAAAATCAATTGAGCACAAATGTATGAGTTTATTTCTGGATGCTCAAATCTAATCCGCTGATCTATATATATATATATATTTATGCCAGTACCACAATGTCTTGAGTGCTGTAGCTTTGTAGTAACTGTTGAAATCAGGAAATGTGAATCCCCTAACTTTGTTGTCCTTTTCCAAGATTGTTTTGGTTACTCTGAGTCCCTTAGGATCAACTTGTCAATTTCCACAAAATAGCTGGAATTTCAATAGGAATTACATCAAATCAACAGATCAATTTGGAGAGTACTACTGACAGCTACGGGATTTGCCAACATTTTCTCTAAGTTTATGGCTTCTATTTCCATTCTCTTACCAGTGTCTTTTGAAGAACA